TCCCCCCACTCCCCACCCAACCCACCCCCCAAAAGGGAGCTTGTCGTGCTCATCCACCCCGACAAGTACCAGGGGGACAAGGCGCTGGCGGGGGAGGCCTTCAGGGTGCTCACCAGCGCATACGAGGCCCTCACACCCCTAGTGCAGTAGCCGCGCACAAGCTGCGGCGGCGGGTTGCGAGGCGAGGGGCGCGGCGCGCCGCGCCGCGCCGGCGGGCGGGGGCGCGTACGTTCCCTGCGGCGCCGGTCTCGCGTGCGGCGGCGTGCGGTGGTGCGGGGCCCTGCGCGCAGTTCGCGGGGCGGGCCCGGGCGCAGCTGCGTACGCTTTGTTTCCTGTCTCTCCGTTGCTTCGTAGTCCTTGTATTTATTGTTTGGGGGCCCCGCGCGGAGTTTTGTTGTTTGCCCCCGCCTCTTGCTGGGACTGCCTTGCCTTTTATGTTTGGCGTTGACCGTTGTGTGCAACCCCAGCCAGCTGTGATGTCCCGGGCCTATGAGGCGCAAACGCAACGACAACATCAATGGTTCCTGGAGCTTTCAACTATGGTTTGGCCTGGCCCTTTGAATGTCACCATCGCCTGCTGCTACCGCTGCTTGCCGCCAGCTGCCGCTTGTTTTTGGTTTGCCCCCGTGATACTGGCTGCTGGTATGTGCTCCTGCAGCCTGCAGCCATCCAGGTTAGTGTGTTACAATGCTATCTCGACCTGGAACGCGCCCGCCACCCTTGACCTCGCACAAGAAAACGGTCAAGCATCTCGATCGCAGCCTTGTGCCTTTTCTGCTTCTCCTGGCTGGCCGCGGCCGCGGGCATGGCCGGGCCAGCGGGCGGCGGCCCTGGCGGTTGAGGCGGGGTCGGGGCCGGTTGCTGCCCGTAGTCCCGTGGTGGTTGCGGAGCTGCTGTGCTCGTTTCCGGCTGCATTTTGCTGTTGTCAAGTCACTCGGGTGGGGTCGGTACAATCCAGCGCGCAGAGTTAGCGTTTGAAGCCCAAGCACCCTGCAGGACAGTGCTTGTGCTGCGCAACCCAAGCAAAGGAAGACGCGCCGCGTTGGCGCGACTGCGCAGCACCTAGCAAGGGAGCCGTGCCTACGGGCTGGCCTCGGCAAAGTTTTGCTGGCTCTGCAGGGGTTGCACGCTGGGTGCTGGCTGGGGTTCGGTTGGAATTCCTAACTTCCTCGCAAGCCTGTGTGGCTCTGGCAGACTTCCATGTGCACTGTCACTCTGTCTGGTGCAGCTGACCACTACTGTACTCACAACCACACTACTCACGACTTTGAGAAGGTTGCAGCAGCAGCTAGGAGCCAGCAGCAGCAGCAGCAGCAGCAGCAGCAGCAGCAGCAGCAGCAGCAGCAGCAGCAGCAGCAGCAGCAGCAGCAGCAGCAGCAGCAGCAGCAGCAGCAGCAGCAGCGGCAAGGAGCCAACAGCAGCAGCAGCTGCTAGGGGCCAACAGCAGCACCAGGATGCATAAAATTGGATCAAGTTACTCGCATATTCATTGCGAATCTCAATGCAATGCAGCCATAGTGCGCGGCTCGGCCCGCCGATCTCATAACAGCGCCACCCCATACCCGCCTGCCCGCCCCGCACATGCACCCGCCTGCCTAACTGCTGCGCCCGCCCGCCGGCCCGCTGCACCTTCCCACCTGCGCTCCCCAGCGACCTGACTGCAGAGACAGATCAGCATATCTAGGGGGCACCGCTTTTCGGACCCATGACCTGGGCCGCGCGTGTGATCTGGGCTGTCCGCCTGTGATCTGGGCTGTCGACGTGGTCCGTTCAAAGGATGATGGTGGGCTGCAGCACGCTCTCCTTGATCTCCTTGTGGGGCAGCACCGTGGCGCCGTTGAGGAACAGCTCGTCCTGTTTTTGGGGTGGTGGTGGTGGTGGTGGTGGTGGCGTGTTAAATGTGGGTGGGTGAGTAACCTTGCCAGCTGTGTGTGTGTGTGCGCATGCGCGCGTGTGTGTGTTGCCTTGTGGTGTGTGTGTGTGTGTGTGTGTGTGTGTGTGTGTGTGTGTGTGTGTGTGTGTTGGTGTGTAGTGTGTGTATGTGTTGTGGGATCCACGATTGTGTGTTGTGTTGTGTATGTGTGCGCGCGCACACGCACGCAGCTGGCTCTGGCCAGCTCAGGCTGACAGCCAGTCAGGGACTCTCATAGCGAGGAACTGCCGCGATCAGCGCAGTCCCCCCCCCCTTTGAGAGCCGCGACACGATTGGACAACCCCATTCGACCTGGCCCCCAAAAGCTCCCCACAAGGCCGCTCCGGACCAGCACCTCGCCGACGGCACCCTCGGGGCGTCACACATGCACCATCGGCCCCCCTCAACTGCACGCAACTGCCGTCGCCCACCCTCAACCGCAGTCACCCGAAGTCGGCCGCCGTCGCCCACCTTGATCTGGACGTCCTTCCCCAGGATGCTGTGGCCCTCCAGCCGCGACCAGGCGCCGATCTGGCTGTCCCAGCCGATGATGGACCTGTCGACCTTGGCGTGGTTCTTGATCTGAGGGGTCGGGGGCATGTCGCGAGGGCGTGTGATGCACACAATGCTTGCGATGCGATGCGATGCGCGTGTGTGTGTGTGTGTGTGTGTGTGTGTGTGTGTGTGTGTGTGTGTGTGTGTGTGCGCGCGTGCATGCGTGCTGTGGTATGTGGACACGAGAGTGTCCATGCCGCTTGCGAGTTGAGCCCGCGGCGCACCGTCCCTGTGCGCGTCCCCACTCCCGTCCTCCACCACGCGCACCTGCCTTGCGGCCCCGCCCCCCCTCCCCCACCTTGACGCCGCGCATGATCACGCAGTTGCTCAGCCGCACGCCCTCCCCAATCACGCAGCCCTCCCCGATCGACACGTCGGGCCCGATCAGGGAGCCGCTGCCGATCTTGGCGGAGGGCGCCACCAGGACGTTGCCGCTGATGCCCGCCCCGGAGGCGAGGTCTGCGGGCCTGCTGCTGCGGAGGCTGGCCAGGTGCAGGTTCAGGCCTGGAGGGGCGCGCGCGCGCGGGCGCACGCGTGTGTGTGCATGTCAGTGAGAGAGAGAGAGAGTGTGTGTGTGTATGTGTGGGTGTGTGTGACGTCGTCGTGGATTGTGGGCACCTGAAGACCGAAGAAAGGCAGGCAGGCGCGGCAGGGCGGCAAAAGCCTCGCCTCCGACCCCCAGGCCTGCACGCCGAACACCTCAGTGGCTGCCGCCGAGCCCGGCGGGCGTCCCCTCCCCTCCGTTTTTTCCAAACAGCCGCCCACCCAACAGGTAGTCCTTGGGCTGGCCCACGTCCATCCAGTAGCCCGGCAGCGTGAACGCAAACAGCTTGCCGTCGGTCGCGACGTGGGGGAACACCTGCAGGGCAGGGCCCAGGACGCGTGCGCGCGCACGCGTACACATCAGAACCGCACGCTTGTCAACAAGCAGGCGTGGTACCCACCCAGATGCCTCCCATAGCGCGCCCGGCAGCGGCGGCGGCGGCGGCGGCGCTTTGCGCCTCCTTTGTGAACCTCGCGCGCACCTCCTTCTCGATGGAGGTCGGCCGCAGCTCGATGCGGTTGAGCACCGACGGGTTGATCACGTAGATCCCCGCGTTGATCTTGTCGCCCACAAAGACCTGCATTACTCATGCCCCAGCGGCCGGGGCACACCAGACAGCGCTGCGCGTCAGCGCCGGGGAAGAGCTGGGGCCGCCAAGGGCCGGCGGCGGCCCCCGCCTGTGGCAGCCCACCGCCCTCGGCCTGCTGCCCCTCGCTGTGGGCGTCCGAGTCCCCTCAAATTGGCATTAGCGCCCGGCCCCTTTTCCCCCGACATGCACACAAACACACACACATACACACACATACACACACACGCACCTGGGGCTTCTCCACAAAGCGCTCCACCTTGCCCTCCCCGTCCGTAACCACCACGCCATACTTGGAGGGGTCGTCCACCTGCGGTTTGATTCGTTAGGGTTATGGACTGAGGCGACAGCATGAGACGGATGCCGTACATTCATGGGCAGTCGAGTCACACAAAGCTGCTGGGTCTGGTAGGTCTCCTGCTCAGGTGTGCCTTGAAGGCGGCACCTCGGCTGCAAAGGGTCAAAGGGTCCGACCGCCGTGTTGCCAGACTGACCCAACCATCATTGATGGCAGCGACAGCGATGCCTTGTGATATCAACACCACGCGGTGCTGCGCGCTTGAGCTCGCATGCAACAGCATGCATGCCGCCCAGAAGCACACACCCACTCGTCTGCCCCAATCACACCCTGCTGCACGTGTGAACGCATGCACGTACGCCCTAATGGCTTGTGCATGGCGCCCCATGTGACGCTCCAGCGACCCCACGCGTGCCCGCACCTTGGTGACCAGGATAGTGGCTTCGCCGCCGCTCGAGGTGTGGAAGTCCAGCATGTCCTTCAGAGGGTACTCGCACACCACATCGCTGGCAGGGAAATGGGCAGCGGCGGGGGCAGCGGGTGCAAGCGCTCATGAGCCAAGGCGCAAAGCCATGTGTATGTGTGTGGGGTGGCTTGGCTGCGGCGACACAGGCTGGGCGGCTGCCTGGCAGCACGTGCGCCTGTAGCTTGCATGAGCCAGGCCTGGTCTGCAGCCACCGGTCGTGTGCCGTTTGCTGCAGCAAACATACACAGCAGCATGCATGCATGCATGCATGCATGCATGCATGCATGCAGTCAGGCAGCCCGCCCATTTGGTCGCTCGAACATGCACTGCTGCAGGGGCCTGCCCAGGTCAGGCCCGGACGCCGACGATCCCCGTGCAGCCCAACTGCAACCCACCTGTTCAGGACGAAGAACGGCTTGCCGGAGCCATCGTCCAGCTTCTCCCTGGCCAGTGCCAGGGGGCCGGCGGTACCCATGGGCTCCGTCTCCTGCAGTTGCATGCATCCAGTGCATGGATTTAGGCATCATCATGGAGGGTCGTGGGTGGTGGCGCGCCCCCGGTGCGCAACACTGGTGTGCCTGCAAAGCGCTCCTGATGCTCGTACACTGTGGGGTCTAACCGGCATCGCGTACCGCTGCTGGCATAGCTGCGCGGCAGCACAACTTCTTTGCGCCAGAGTTGCCACAAAAGCGCGAACAAACTGTTTGACTGGCAGCAACAGCAGCATATGCTGCGCAGGGCGGCGTTGCTGCGCGCTGTCCCACACCTGGCTGCACACGATCTTGACGCCGAGCTTTGCGGACCATTCCTCGATGAAGGCCAGCATAACCTACAGGCAATGTGCCATTGCATTGGTCCTGGGCTTGCGGCATGCCGCTCAGATCGAAGTCAATCACTTTGTATTGGCCCGATCGCCCACCTCCGGCTGGTAGTTGATGGCCAAGATGACCTCCGTCACTCCGACAGCCTTCAGAGCCTGCGAAGAGGCTCAAAGAGCTCGCCAACGCCAAAAACGGGGGCGACAGTTTGCAGCCATCGCCCTCCCCTACCTCAATTTGGTGGCATATCATCGGCTTGTTGCAGAAGTCCACCAGGGGCTTAGGGCACGACAACGTAAGAGGCCTCAGCCTCGTGCCGAAGCCCCCCACAAGGATTAAGGCCTTCATACTGCAGGCGACGCGGGGCAGTGCTGCCGAAGGGATGGGTGGTGTACTTATCGAGGAGGCGCCTAAATAAATGATGAAAGCAGTGTCGCTGAGCCTATTACAATGAAACGATCAGCATTCCGAGCTCATAGGAACGTCCTTGAGATCAATAATCCCAGCAGCTTTTCAGTTGGTCCCAAGGCGAAATTCAACCGGGCTTGTCACAGCTCCGAAATACCCAAGAAAGCCATATCAAGCGCGGCTGCCGTCCTTTGAAGGGCCTGCTTGCTGGCCAGAGCGGCGCGGTCAGCCGCCTTGCGATGACGTCTGAGTGCAGGGCAGCCCTGCCCGGCGTGACACCAGCGCAACCAGCAATTCGCGTGGACACCCATCCAGAATGTGAGGCTGTAGTGATCAGAATGATATTCCAATCCCATGTCTCACATCCAACGCTCCCTGGGTCGCTGGTGGCTGTTAGTCAGCCTCCAGGTTGAATTGGTTCGTCGACCGACGCGCGACTTGTGCTGACTGGCCGCCAGCACTACTTCGATGCCACATGTTCACGCGGAAACCCAAGCAACCACCGCGAGTACATATGCATCACCCGTGATACAAATACATTGGCCGTTGCTGAGGTCATGGGAGTTGCTTGGCTGTCGTGCAGTTGAATGTGCGTCAACCACCTGTTGGACAACTGTGTGCCACGGCATGAACGCTGATGTGATGCGACGTCGGGCCTTGGCACAAGCTTACAAGCTCGCGCCAGCGCTGATCGTGCTGGGGCAGCTGCTCAAGAGCGTTGTGGATACTGGGTCCATTGCAAAACACCGACCAACAACGAATAACCAAGGACATGCCATCAACGTAAGACTCAATATATGGCAGACCAACCAAAAAAGTGTGTGTTCTGCCTGCACTAAACTGACCCCGTCCGCCGAGACGGCTGCCGCTGCGGCACAGGCCAAAACTCCGGCGGCCCCGCCCCGGCCTCAACCGCGCCCCTCACTCCTCCGCCCCCACCTCCACCGACGGCAGCGCCGCCGGCTGCGCCACTGGCGGCGCGTCGGGCAGGTGCACCGCGCATATGCTGGTGCGGTAGCGGCCGGTGGTGACGGTGCCCTCGTCGGCGGCGGTGGAGAGGCGCGTGGAGTAGGCGACGTACAGCAGGTTGCGGCGGTCGGGGTCGTACAGGCGGCGCACACGCAGGGTCTTGTCCTGGGGCCGGGATGTAGGCGTGTGAGCGTGTGAGCTTGTGTGTGTGTGTGTGTGTGTGTGTGCATGTGTGTGTGCATGTTTGTGTGCATGTGTGTGCTGTGGCGGGGGGAGGAGGCGGCGGTGATGTAGCGTGTTTTTGCGTGTGCATGTTGGGGCATGTGCTGTGGGCGATCCCTAGGTGACGGGCGAGCCAACTGTGTTTCGGGGGGTGCCTCTGGTGTAAGAGGCAGCGGCGGGGCCACCGGGCCGTCGAGGCGCGCGCCACGCGCGGCCGCCTGACGACGGCAGCGCGCGCGCAAGCGTGCGACGGGCGACGCGGGAGCGGACACGGCGCGCACGAGGGGCAAGGGGGTGGGGCCGGGGACGGACGCAGGGCGCGCGGCGCCCCGGCCCAGCTCCAGGCTGCCCTCTCATCCACAGGGGGCCCCCTTTCCCGCTTCCCCGCGCCCCCCTACACACAACCAAACACACAACCAAACCCACAGCCCGCGCCGCAC